CCAGCCTCATCAGAGCCTCATCAGCCTCTTGCCAGATACCTCTTGCCTCAGATCTCTGCATTAACCCAAAATTGAGTTAATAGTGATGATTAGCTTTAAATCGTTGGGAATGAGAAACATACAGTAAATACAGAGCACCTTTAAGAATGAATGTTATAAGGACTCAATGACAAATTGAAGCAAGGAGGTTAAACAGGGCAGAACTAAATCTGTGTTTCTATATCAAAAGATATTTTAAAATATTTTTGTTGTATTATTTAAATAACGTCATCTATTATGTAACATAAAGTTTTCCAGGTGTGGAACTAGTATGTATTTCAAAGTATCTTCTAGCTCTAAAATTCTATAATCAACAAGTACTATAAAAATAATAATGTAAATCAAATTCAGATATGCTTTCCCACATACCTGTGCTGATAGAATATTGATACAGAGTCTTATTTAAATACCAAATTTTGGTTACCGTATTTAAGAAAAAATTTTTTTCAGCTATGTGGTTTTATGAGAAGTCTTTTTCTACTTCCAGAAATAATTTGCTGAGAACCAATGAAGTTCTAATTTTTCCACCCAGTGAGATCTCATTTTGAGTATTCCATCTTTCTCTTGATAGATTAGATGTGTGTGTGTGTGTGTGTGTGTGTGTAACATGAATTCATTAGTTGATCCACAAACCAAAAAATAAAAATGAGTCACCACTTTGGGGCAACTCAGCTACCTATTATTTCTTGTATGCATAAAGTAAGACTATTTTTTTTTCTATGTTAAAGGCTGCATATGAGGTATCTAGAATAGTGAAATTTATAGAATCAAAGTACGACAGTGGTTGCCAGGGGCTGGGGGAAGGAGAATGGGGGGTTAATAGTCAACAAGCAGGAAGTTTTGGTTAAACAGGATGAGTGTGTTCTATAGACTTGCTGTACAATGTCGTACCTGTAGTCAACAATCCTCTATTGTACACTTAACAATTTTACCCTGTTTGCAAAGGGAAAAAAAAGTCAACTGATAGCATTTTCTCAATTCAAATTGTTCTCCAATAATTTTTTACAAGTCTTTGGCTCCAGACACCACTTTTCTGCTGAAGATTGCCAGTGGATGGCAGGAGAAAATGAAATTGCAAATTCATATCAATAGGAAAACTCAAAACCAGTCTCTTGTTCTTGGCTCAACAGTTGGGTATTTTGCTTTAAGACATGTGAGCTGGTGGTTGTGAGTTTATACAGTATATGGATAATATAAGGTGGATTTCTTTTTGCTAGTAAAAGTACGTGAAAACAGCACGTAGATAAAATAAAAATATATTGGTTTGTATCTTTAAAAAATGTTTCACAAAGAAAATGGTGTTCTGCAAATAAGACCATATGTTTTAGATCTCTGCCTTCTGAACAAGTCTGAGATGCCCTGTCTTAGAATAAGCATGTTACTCCTCTAGAGAGCATAGGTAGACGTGATTGATGGATAAAGGCTAAGCCTCAATGCATGTACCCTGTGTGTGAAGTAGCTGTGCAGTTGTTCATGATCCACTGCTGAAACTGACATGGATGTTGGAGGATTTAAACCATCGTTTGACATTTAGTATCACATATGCAGGTGGGAGATCTTAGTGTTGTTTGGCAATAGATTTTTGTGTCTAGGAAGGGCCAAGAACGTATTTGAACAAACTATCTGAAATTTGAACCTCCCAGTAAGTGGCCCTTTATCTTCTCTATGAACCTTAAAATGACCCTGGCATCAAAGTGAATAATAGCACCTGTGTTCAGGGCTGTGTTACTTGCAGGTGGGTCTGCGTGAAGGAAATGAAGAAACATGGTACATTTTTAGACTAGCAAGATGCTTTACAGTAGGAATTTATACCCTATTTGTATGGGCGCAAATGTGAAACTGCATTCCTAGACATACAAACTCTTTGAATCTTAGTGGAACATATCATGTTTTAAATTGTAATCCTCAACTGCATATTACTCAGTTTGGGATTTCCCACCCATAGCCAGAGAAGGGAAGAAAATTCTCTGTACATGTACAGCCTTCACTTACTAAGAATTTTCGTTTATATTACTGACTTAAAAAAAATCCCCTACTGTGCAAATGTGTCTCCATATGTGGAGACAGATGACTAGAATACATAAAGCCAATTCTTTGTGTTTTTCAACTTTTAAAAATTATGTACATACAATGTTTTGTCTATTTTTATAAATTGCTGAATATGGTGTTTTGCCACTTTTAATATTTTTGTAATCAAGGTAAAATCACACTATAAAACTCAATTTTCATCATCCCAATTCTGCCCCGTATCTACTCTTACGGGGCTTCAGTTTCTAATGAAGCATTCTGATGTTCCCCCAGCAGAGGAAACGGCCAAAGAGGAATGACACAGAGTGTGGGAGTTGGGAGAAAGTGATCTGAGAACAGACCACAGAGCAGGGAGAAAGATCAGGACAAAGCTGGCTCAGGAGTAGATAAGTATTTGGACAGCTACCATGGAAAGAGTTAGGAAGACACTGGACAGGAGTTACAGCAGAGAAATGCGGAGTATAGCAATGAGGCCTTTATAGCAGATGGATGTGGGGCCGAATTCTGGCTCTTCCATCGACTGGCCGTATAACCTTGGATGAAGTATTCTTCTCTCCAAACTTCCGCTTCCTCATTTGGGAAGATGGGGAAACTCCCATCTTCCAAAGCCATGGTTAGAGAGCCTGTGGGAAGACTTGAACTTCATAGTGTTTCTGCTTTTCCTTTTCGGTTCTAGCTTGATCCTGTCTTTCCTGAATCAGAGATAGCCTTGATGAAAATGCCGTCAGTGTATGGAGTCCACACATCCCCAAATGACCCTTCCTTCCTTAGTCTTTTTACTATGGAGAATTTTGAACATTAACAGGAAAAAAATAAGCATAGCAGATAACAAAGCTCCATGCACCCATTACTCAGCTTCAACAATTGGGAGTCACAGTGCGTCTTTGTCATCTACATTTCATCCGCTCTCTACCTGCTGTATTATTTTGAGGCAGATCTAACATCATATCATTTTATCTATAGATGTTTCAGTATGCATCTCTAAACAACAAGGAGTCTTTTTAAGAAATACAGTCATAATGCCATAATACACCTTAAATACTTAACAGTTATCCCTTAATATCATTAAATATCCAGTGTACTTAAATTTCCAATGTCTTATGAATTTTTTGCAGCTTGCTTGAATTAGGATAGAAATCATATCCACAAATTACAAAGTGTGTCTTTTAAGTCTCTTGATCTATTGGCTGATGTGCTCTTCTGTTCTCTGTGTTTTGTGTAAGTTAGAGGATTCATCAGATTCAGCTTGATTTTGTTACTGTTATTGTTGCTGCCGTTACAACCTCTGTCCGATAAATTGTATCAACCACATGAATGCACCAAGTGGTGTAGCCATTGATGATGCAATTGTTCCAGACTGATGAACAACTCTTGGAAGATGTCTATTTGAACAAACCAATATCTAATCTTCCCTCAATGTAAATAATAGCTACTTCCTGGAAATCTTGGTAAATATTAAATGTGTACAAAAATATTTGCATTTACATGGAATATGGAGCTAGACTTTAGGCTCGGATAATTATAAACTACTTTTCATCTACATGAATGTCTGGCAGGTCATGTGGCACATGGGAAAATTTCTTTGCAAAGAAGAATTATCTGCCACATTGCAGAAAGTCTCGCATTTCCGGATCCTGCCCACTAAATGCCTGGAGCACCCCACCAGATCTTTATGACTACCATTAATGTCCCCTTTTATTTACAAAATTCCCCTATGGCTCACTTTGTCTCCTCTGGAAAACCACTGGCTTAGTCTGAGAAGCAGTAAAAGAGGAAATCGGTTTTAATTGCACGCACGCTCTAATTTGGGGAAGGGAAATCAAGGAAGTATTCTGTGTAATAAATGACCGTTGAAACATTCACGCTTTCCAAAGTTTTTCTCAGTTAACAGAAGTTTTGTTTCTCCAAACTATGTTGGAAAACGTGAGTAGGCTTACTGATAAAACAAATGAGGTCATAATGACACCGCGCTAATGTATGTAATTCAAGTACAGAACTTTTTAACAGCTGGAAAACCATACGGACAAGTAGAGTTAGGGAAACTGGGACAGTGGCAAGAGATAATAAATCTATTTTAATTCTTTTTTAAGCAAAAGCAAAATTTCTAATAAAATTTTAACTCTCTTTATCCTGTACTTACATAATTGGCCTATAATGCTGATAAGAAATTTTGCTTCATCACTGAAATGGAGAAAATATAGTCAAATGTTTATTCTCCTCTAGCTTACTTGCCTCATTATGTGATAAATTTCGTGATTTCACTATTTCTACCAGTAGGTTTCTTTTTGCCTTAAGAGTATACAAGTTTTCTGTTTCTGCTTCCTGGCTGTTTCCCTGTGTTCAAAGAGCATTTGCCAAAACAAACAAAAACCCCCAAAACAATGAGTAACTCCCTCAATGTTCATACGCTAGCCTTGACTCTCAGAAATCCAAAGCAGGATATCAAACATTTCGATGGCAGAGTTTGTCTGGTAGAAGATACAGCTCTCCAAAAAGCAAGTTACGTTATTTGACGTCTGCAAACTGCAAAGCAGGTGCAGCGGTAACATAGTAACTGTTCAGAGGCTGGAACTTTGTAACTATGGAGACGTTACCTCATAGTGTTCTAACAGACAGTGTTGACCAGATGTGAAAGTTGTGACCATAAAAGTAGCTTTGCTGGGTTACCGCCCTGCCTCTTGAGCCGCTTCCAGTGAATGCTACACACCTCCATCTTGATTTGTTTAATATTCTTAGCCAATATCGGTATTGGCGATGTCAGCACTCACATATTCACATTAGAATCCTGGTTCTGGCACCAACTTGGTAAAAAAATCATGAAGTCTGGCAGGTACTCTAAGGTAGTTAGGTTAACAGGTGAGGTCACTTGAAAAAGAAAATCTGCCTTGAACCTCAGCTATATTCATTGCCTAATGTCAATTTTATTTTCCCAGAAAAGAAAAGAGACTTCTCTTCCAGCTGAGAAGAAAGACAAACAAGCCATTCAGGAAATGTTGGCGGCTCTGCAGAGTGAAGTCCACCACCAGGAAGATAAAATGGAGAATCAAGTACAGTAAGAAAGGCATAAATAAGAGAAGAGAAGGGACTAAATTTTAGAGAATAAGGATGGAGTATTTGATCTCTTGTTTCAAAACATCTTATGAAATAGAACTAGAATTTATTCTACAAATTTTCTAAAATTAATTAATCATAGCATACAACAATTTCCCCAACCACTGTTTTAAAAGGTTTAGGTTAGTTTTTGACTGGTATAAAAATTCACCCAGACAGATCTCCATCTTATCAAACCTGGCTCAGATTCCAAAGCTCATATCTAACATGTTAAGGTAATTGGCAGACAATTTCTTTAGAACTGATTTACTCACCTGGGGACAGAGATTTGCTAGAGAACTTTGGTTTTGGAAATGTCTGTGAGGATATTAAATAAAAACTACAACTCTTTATTTTTACTATTAATGTAAATCATTCTCTCAAAACATTAGCATTGGTTTTCTAAAAAAAAAAAATCCCTAATATTGAATATACACAATTTAAAGCTAATGTTACTTTGGACCTACATGTCCTGTGTTTACTGTTCAGTTCAAGTCCATTTTGAAAATATTTCTTCTTAGAGCTCATCTGAGATTTAAATAATTTTCAGTATTACCAAATGCAGCATCTCCCAAAATAACACTGAAATGTTGGAAATGGACTTTTATAACTGCCTCTGGTTTAGTGCTGGTCAATTACAGAGGAAGCAAAATATCAAGACGGGGCTTGGAAAATTTCACATGGGAAAGGAAAAGCTAACCAAGCACTAAGGGAAAATCTCTCGTCTTCCAAAAGGAGTCTAACAGGTCTGTGGGTGCAGGGTTCAGACAATGGGCTCTTCCTAAAATGTTTCAGCTCTTCCAAGATGTATGCAGCCATTAGAAGCTTCTTATTCAACTACAAAAACAAGAGCACCCTGTGACCCTAGACCAGATTTCTTTGATCACAACATTTGCAAAGGCTTATTGTGAATCTTCTGTGGAATTAAATTTATTTGGAAATGCTATTGTTTTACCAGAGGGGGGAAAAGAATCAGAGCTTATAAAATGAACATGCTGAAAAGATACAGCCAGTTGTCTGTAATGAAACCCAGATGTAAGGAACTTTGAACAAGAAAGGTCCTTTTTTTTTGCTTATTCTATCCAGTGTCAAGGGAAAATTATGTCATATGATCCTGTCTCCGTTTAAACAGAGATGAAATATTTGTAATTTGACAATAGACCTCTGTAGTCTCCTTTTCGTTACCACCACAGTCATACTCAAGAGTGTATCTTCATGTGTTGGAGCTTTTTTGACAAAGATGAGTGGTTGAAGAGTCAGCAGTAGGGCATGTGCTCAAGCTTGATTAAGTACTAGGCTAGTAATAATGCAGTGTTCAAAGCCAATGCCATTAACTTACTTCAAAGAATTGCCTGAGTTATCTGTGCCGTCTGAGAGGTACACTTAGAGAAGTCTAGTTTTGCGTGATTCCCTCTCGGTAAAGAAAGAGATTGAGACTAACATCAGTGAGATGGCAGATTAGGAAGGTTCAGGCCCTTGTTCCCTTGTGGAAACATTGGAAAAACAAAAACAAAAAACAGAAGACTGGCTAAAATAGCTTTATAGGAACTCTAGAAAACAAAGATATCAAAATAGAGACAAAGCATGCATGGAAGCAAAATACTTGCCCCGGACTTACAGTGGCTGGATATGCGGCCCCCAGCAGGAAGGGCTCGGGCTGGCCCTGGACCTAGTTTTTCAGAGAGCTAAAGGGTTGGACCCCAGGACTTTGTTCACAACTCAAACATCAAACCACACACACATGGATTGCTTTGAGGTTCCTGGGAAGAGCCTCAATGTGACTCAAAAGCAGTTGTCATCAGCCTTTTCATGAACTACTCCATGAGAATATTATTTTACTTATAAAAACTATACTGAAAGAATATGAAAATGAATATATGTATGTTCATGTATGACTGAAGAGTTGTGCTGTACACCAGAAATTGACACAGCATTGTAAACTGACTATAACTCAATTAAAAAAAAACTGTACTGTAGTTTAGGGACTTTGTTTAAATGATGGCACACTAGTTAACAAATACTTTTATATTTATAAAAAAGAAAGGAAAAAATTTTATATATATTTTTATTGAAGTATAGTCAGTTTACAAATGTGTCAGTTTCTGGTGTACGGCACAATAATTTAGTCATATAGGAACATACATATATTCGTTTTCATATTCTTTTTCACCATCGGTTACTATGAGATATTGAATATAGTTCCGTGTGCTAGACATTAGAAACTTGTTTATCTATTTTATATATAGTAATTAGTATCTTCAAATCTCGAACTCCCAGTTTATCCCTTCCCACCCCCTTCCCTCCCTAATAACTGTAGGTTTGTTTCCTATGTCTGAGTCTGTTTCTGTTTTGTAAATAAGTTCATTTGTCTTTTTATTTTTTAGAAGGGAAAAATTCTTGTTCATAGTAAGATTTACATATAAAAATAATACCTGGAAATTAAGTTTTTCTTCTCCCTCTTTTGTGCTCTTCCTGTCACCATCCACACACGTACACAAGTGCACACGTGTATACACACGTGTGCTGTATTTCTGTTACTCATTTGTAAAGTGTACTTGAAAGCAAACATCAACTGTAGAATCTTTATAAATGTAGCAAAATTAAACAGCAGCAAAAATTAATGGGAAAAGGTATAGTAAACCATGATATATTAAACAGAAATTATAATCATGGTTTTCATGTTAATGGAAAGGGAAATATAATGTAATAAGTGATAAAAGTGGGATATAAATGGTTTATAGAGTCTCAATTTTGAGTGAAAAAAAAGCATTTAAAAGCCTTGACGGAAAAAATATTGAATCACTATGTTGTACACCTAAAACTACTGTAATATTGTAAATCAACTACACTTTAATAAAAAAAATTAATAAAAAATGAAAAGCTTGGAAGGAAATAGTAAAATTTTTAGTTTGTGGAATTATAGTAATTTTTCTTTTCTTCTTTATGCTTTTATACTTTTGCAGAACCATCTAATGTCGGAATTTAAAAATCAAATAGAAGAAAAAATAAAAGCATGACTTGACACAGAGTTTTATTTAGATTGTTAAAGCTAGAAATATAAGATATTCTCGTGCTTGCGTTAGATGCACAATAGCCTTGAAAAGCAGAACTCTGGATAATAATGATTGTTCATGCTTTGCGTATTCATAGTCTGTCACTTTGACTTTCTCACTTGGTTTGTTACACTGATTTTCTCACACAGAATAGAAGACACACGTGACGGTCTCTCAACGACTCAGCGATCTTTGGTGCATTTCTTGTCAAGGTCTACAGATCCAGATACCCCAGCACTGTCATTGTCACAGTCTTTATCCGGTGAAATATCTGCCAGTTACTATCCGTCTAGCCCTCAGGTTAGTGGAGTAACTGTATCAACAGCTGGATCAGAGTCTCCTAAATCTTCTTTAGTGAGCCATCCCCAATCCAAAAACAATTTGGGTAAGCAAAACATACCCCGATTTACTTACACTGTTTTTAAAGCAAATAGTTCGGTAGAGTTCCTTATGTACCTAGAGGCCAGAATGATGGTTGTTTGTCTCTAATAGTACTAATTTCTTAATGTCGTATGCAGAGTAACTTGACTACGCTCACTGATTCTAGCATTGGAGTCATGTTCAGTCGTAGAAATATCTGTGGCCAAATACATCATCTCTATGATGAAAATATCTTGGAGTTACCATAATGGTTCAAAGGTTGACCACTTAGATACTCTAAAATTGCTAGATAATTAAAAATTCTACCGTAGAGCATTAGCCGCCCTTCCTCTGAATGCTGCCGGGAAGGTTAAGCAATGTCTCGTGTATGCTGTGCCTTTAGGAGACCAGGGCTTAAGTAAGGAAAGACAGATAAGAGAAATACAAGGTGGGTAATAAAAATGGTGGTGAGAAAAGGAAGAAACAGTACAGAATTTGGAGGAGAGGAAAATGAAACAGCAGTCAAGTTTTGACAGTTGCCAACAATGCACTCAGCGATAGTCACCACGGTTAGAGAACTTTGAGGGTATGTTACCATGGTTTACTGAAAAACCATTGTCCTTGGAAACAGAGGACCTAGGTTCAAAATGTGAGACATTAGGTAAGATATTTAGCATCTCTGAGTCCCATTTTCCACGACTGCAAAATGAGGATTAAAATATCAACATCACAGGGCAATCCCAAGGGTTAAGCGAGATATTTATGAAAATCACCTAGCACATGGTCAGTGTGCTGGATAAAATTAGTTGTGACTCTGAACCTATCAGTAAGTACCTTCTCCTAGAAAAGGCTAGATCTGGGGCCTGTAATTACCAGTCAACAGACAAGTTTCAAAACTGTTAGCACAAATACACCCACGACTGCCTGCTGTCTTCATTTTCCTGTACCATCTTGTGGGCATTTGCGGCCTGACTGCTGCTTCTCTATATTTCTTTTTGACTCTGGTATTTCCCTAAGCCTTTGACACAGTGTTATATAGGATTTTGACCTACTGCCACTATTGGCATATTCCTTATGCTTCATTGTTTGCCTAAGATACATTTTTCAAAGAAGCCTCCTAAAATTCACACTGACCAAAATCTATATGCTTTAAAGTAAAACTATGAATTTGATATCTGGAGAGGTAATATTTCTCATCCTTTGGCACTATATCATCATGGCGTATGCTCTATACTTGGGTGACATAAACTTGAAAGCTCCTAGTACTGGGGGAAAAGCAAACACAGTGGCTACCCGCTTGCCGGATGAGAGCTGTGCTGGGGTGGAGTCTTCTCCTCCAGTTACTGTAGATTCTGACTCTCTAGATAGGTCTGGGTCTGCAGAGATGTTGCATTTGGTTCGTTTCCATCTGATCCTCTAGATGAAATAACCACTGAACAAAAATCAGTGTGTCTTCTTTTAGAATACAATGATTTTCATCTTCAAGATGAGCTATTAAAAACGATGCTATATATTCTTTTTCCTCAAAGGAATTTAAGAATTAAATAAAGTCACTTGAATGGAATGAACTAATTTAATTCAACATCTCTTCTAAATAAAATACATCGAGGAATCCTTCTTAGGAAATAATGTGTTTTTTTTTTTTCCCCTCTCTTTCCCTTTGCTTTGGTTTCGTTAAAGATACAAGAATATAAAGCACACCCTAGACTATCTTAATCCTTTGGTGATTTTGGCCGAGGGACACATTAGCCAAAGCCCCTTGCTACAATAATAGCTACCATTTATTGAGCACCTGTTAAAGGCCAGATTCTCTGCTAGACACTTACCTACATTATCGTCAATCCTCACA